GAAGGCGACAGGCAGACGAAGAAGACCCTCACCTTACTACGTGGCTGCCTTTTATACCGGGGGGTTCCCGCCCGAAGGTGCGATTGTGCGGGGAGGTTGCGGAGAGTCCAGGCAGACCACACTATTGATGGTCGGCGTGGATCTACCCCGGGTGGTCATACGATAGGCCACCTACCGTAACACGCTCCATGACCGCACATGACATCGAGATTCAAAGCGTTCAAGGCAGCACTAATGTTTCGAAGGAGGCAAGGCTTATCACAGTCATAATCATTGCTGTTTCCGTGAAGGTGAAATGAGCAGCGCTGTCAAGGTGTTGAGATGAGCAAATCCGAAGATTTACGATCGCGATTTCTATGAAATCGACAATAAGCAGCCAATTTCTCTTTCTCAACGAAAGAGTGTGAAAGTTGTCAGCCATCGAAAGGTAAAAGAGGACGAGCATATCACCTGGACTGCACGAGCAGTGCTTACGGGTGGAATTATAACGCTTAAACAAGCATTTTTCCTTTTCCAAGCAACTATTCCTTCTTTGTAGGACCCCGAAAACTCATGAGAGCGTTTCATCACCGCTGTCATCGAAAGGCTACTTAGGATATTTATTTTGATCTCTACTGGTTAGACACAAACGTTTTCTATAGGGCTTGTCAAGTTAATAGAGCGCAGCACTCTAGTACTCTGTTTCTGGCAATTTTTCAACAAAGAGCAGAGCCAGCCACAAAAGGCGCATAACGCTTGAAAGTGGTGAAATCGCTCGTGTTAACGCTGAATTCACGATAATTTTGAGGTACCCCTTTTTAGTTGAAAAGAGGAAGCACAGGTTGGGGATAGTTCATCGGTCACTACGGGTCGTGACAAGTTTAAACAACCAACATGGGTTCCCTTGTAATTAGGGCGGCCTCTACAATGGCGATGAAACTCGTTCGAGGATATGCACGGGACAATCATTGAGACTTTATAACACCCTATTTAGGCCCTTTTTCGACCTGACTGCGCCACATTTGGTATACGACGGGGCCCAAATCATCCAAGGGGATATCCCACAAGCTAGTTTCACCGTGAACTGTGCCTTTGAAAACGCAGCTCTTGCGGCGCAACAAGCAAACTAACATAGGGGGAGCCCATTTTAAGCAAGTATTATGAAAATTAGCAATCATAACATCTCTGCTGCATGGCAGTCCTCGAGGTCCGAGGATGGCAATGTAGCACCCTCATTTATAGATGATTTTCGATGTTCGTAATATGTAGTGTGCACTGCAGTTAGTCAATGAGATAGAAAGCTGATTTGCAAGCTTTTAGCATGTATTTCATAAAATGCGAGAGAATTTTACGCACAGGGGATGCAAAACCTCTTGCCACGCCTGCGAGTCCATTGTCTTACCTGCCGCGCCATCGTTTCACATCTAGCTGAGCGACTCGACCTCGATGTCGACAAAACCCTATCACATGGGAGAACTGCTCCTGTAACTTCTTTCCCAGAGTCGTTTTGCAAATATGGTATGTGGATTTGACATCAGCGTCCAAAAGCACATATTTGGGTTTATATCTCATTTTTAACGGCCATTACGACCCAATACCGTTTCCTTGTTAGTTCATTCATTGGTAGAAGGCTCGTATAATGCTCTTCAAGTGTTTTCTAGATCGTATCTCCGAAAAAGAGTAGTTGGGTACGAGGCTTTTCCGATGCGATCCGAAGTTATCTTGTTCACAACGGACTTCATCTTCTGCATCGCAAACAATTCAAGCGTCGCATAATCAAAATCTTATAGTTGCGAATGTGGAGAGATGGTGGTTCTATTAGTCTGATGATCAGCACTGCTAATCCTCCATTCGCTTGATTCAATAGGGTTATTGGTACGTATGAATGGGTGTATTTGCGTTGTAATGGTTTACCTCTTGAGTAGTGAAGCTCCTCTTTCTAGCGTACCTCTTATGCAGGCGTGATAAGCTTGTAAGGTATATTGTGAGCTTAATAGGAACGAGTAGGTTTCATTAAAATATTTGGTGGGATGGTTTCATTTTCCTGTTACTTCTAGAGGTTCCTATCAGAACAAAAATCCATGCGGTTGCAGGAGCTCGCTGACGTGGTCTGAACAATGTCTGTGAGCATGGAATTGATAGTAGCAGAGTATACGATCATATTTCTACGATTACCTTGAATTTTTCTTCGATGAGATAAAAAACTGTTTTTTTTGGATCTAAATTGCCGTGCTCTCTAAAGAAATTCTATGTTGACTCGATAGAAAAATCACCAGGTATTCTCCGTTGACTCGATAGAATAATCACCAGAAGTTCTCCTAGAAGATGCGATTTTCTCCAAAGTTTCTGCTTGTGTACGAATCTCTATGATTTCCCTGGTTTGCGGAAAGTTCCTTCTGTGTAAGTATGTCACGTGCAGTGCACTTTATAGACGTACGACCTCGTTTTTTTGACATTGCTCGAAAGTACATAGAGCAAATGTTCCGTGATCTGATATGGTGCCCACCTCTACTGACCCTTCTGAAGATCTTATAGAGTGTGATTGCCCCTGTTCAAAAAATTTAGTCGTAAATTTTGGCGCTTCTCTAAAGAGAAATAATATCCAGGCTTCAGAGTGGCAGTAAGCGAGACGAGGGTGTTTTTGTTGTGCTTAGAACAACTTTTGGTACATTTTGTCGTGCAAACTGAGGACAGTTCATAATCATACAAATTGACTTCGACACTGTGAATTTCTAGAGTATTACCAGTAAGCCTTTTGTTCAGGGAAGAATGCAATTGTAATCGCCGGGCCTACGAATTCAAGTTCCGCGATGGATTCAGATACTGGAAGTGTATCCCTCCCTCCAGAGGCTCTCGAAGAAAGTCTTGAAAGCGAGGTGACTTTTGCCATAGAGCTGTTTTGGCATTTCTAGTTTTGTTTTCCATCTTTTCTATAATTTGCACTGTGTTTACTCTAATTTCGGCGTATATACTGGAGCTAAAGCCATGATGTTTGCCAGTACTTATTTGCAATGTAACTTCATTCAAAAGATTTTAAAAAGGAAATGTTAAGAATTCATGATTTGAAAATGTTTTTTGTCATTGTGTGGAAAGCAATCTTGTTTGGGTAAGCAAGGAATCTCTGCAACGAAAAATTCGGAGCGTAAAAATTTTTGTGTAAACAGTGCGAACGATAGCAAGGGTGATTAACATCTAGCACATTACCCGAAGAATCAACTTATGGATTAACAAGGACCTTCCTGAACGTTTTCGCTACTTTACCATCGATGATAACACAACACCAGATTCGTTCCACCACTTTCCACTAGGCCGAAAGCGCTGTTCGCCGATCAGCGGTCAAAATTTAGTTGAACCGCTTTACTTCAGGCAGGAGCACCAGCCTTTAAAGTAACCAAACATCGTTTCATTGTTACGTGGATGTGAAAGAACCCACTGGGTGTTCGTAAGCTAGGTAGTCGACCTGTCGCTCCAACATTTGGTCCGGTGGTTAGAAAAAGAAGTCCAAAGCCGTAACTCAGGTACCTACAATTCACTCTCGACACCCATAAAGTTTCACCGGCCTCGCGTGGTTCCAGATTGTTCATCATCTCTTGATTACCATGTGTTTCGCCTTCTCGAGCACGCTTCATGGAAAACAAGTTCGTAGCTTAATATGGTCTGAAACCGGCAGTCGAATATTTCTCACGTCACAGCTTTCTGACTTCTGAACAAAAGAATATTTTGAATACGTGAATATATTTCCAATATTTGATTAACTTGGAAAATACTAAAAGTGAACCCAAAAATGACTTTTTGTCGCATCCTTCAACTCATTAGTTTACGACTAAAACATGCGTGACACTTATCGTCAACATTGCATAATACTGCGATAATGCATGGCAAGGATTACGCTCAGCAACTCTCACATTTTATATTTTTCTAAAAGTTGGAGAACATGTGAAAGTAAAACATCCCATACTTTGATAGCAGGACTTGCACAAATTTTCACTTCTTTTTCACTGTATATTAAAGTTGTTGTTTAGGTGCAATTTGGCAGCCGACATCATTCAATTTTAGAAACCACGAAGGAATTCAACAAAACTATTCTGGAAGACGTTGTCGAGGAAAAAGAAAACGAATGTTGCAAAGTTCCTAGCGAGGCTGATTTCTAACTTGATACAATTATGAATATTTTTTCCTGTGAATAACACTGGCAAGACTTGTGGATCAACTTTCTACCTTAAGAGCCAAATTAGTATTTCATAAAATGTATTCATAACACATAACACATGTAAGCAATAAAATGTGAAATTGAAATGTGTTATAATGCAAAAACTAATTCCATGTTAAATGAAAAATGGGCAATATCTCTACTTCTCTAGTTCTTAAAGTTTTAGCAACAGACGGAAAAATGAGCTGTCACACATGTATATCAGGCCGACTAGGCGGGACTGGGTGGCCCTACAGATATTCGTGAATTAATCATTTTTTGACTGAGTAATCTAGATAGAGAGAGGTATGTACCACTAGTGTTCATCCTTGCCGCCCGAGTTGGATTGTAGATGCGCTGGTTCTAAAAGGAAAGGTGAGGATGGCCTACAGAATCTTTGAATGACTTCCTTCTTCTCAAGGGCAACGGCAACCAATCATGGATCTTGGGACGACAGACAGTGACAACTCAATCTTTTTTAGACATTTTTCCATCCTTTTCCCAGCTCCGCTCCCCTCCCTCTCCTTTCCTCACCTCCATCTCTCCCTACCCTGTTAAGTGTTTTGGCCAAGCTATCGAATCATTCTGAATTATACATGTACCAGTTGAGCTACGCACGCTAATGCGTGCACCACATGCCCACTACCGCTTACCTATGACTTGTTAGACCAGTTGAGCTACGCACGCTAATGCGTGCACCACACCACTACCGCTTACCTATGACTTGTTAGAGGGCCACTATGAACAGTATCGGTTGACTTCCCATTCCATTACTGCTCCCTCACCGCGCTCACGTGACTTTCACACTCTTCGTTGCCTACGTTACTTTCGGAAGGTCGTACAAACGGGCTTACCGCTTCATATACAGTGGCAGTCGGCAACCGGCCCTCCCCCCCCCCAATTTTTGGAACGAATGATGCTTTTCTGAACACGAAATCC